GGGAGGGGTGAAGGATGGAGAGCAAGAGATAGATCTTCCATCTGCCAGTACATTCCCCAGATGGCTGCAATGGCCAGGGCTGGGCAAGGCAAAGCCAAGAGCCCAGAGATTCATCTGGGTGTCCTACTTGGGTGGGTGGTTGGGGCCAAACACTTGGGCCATTTTCCGCTGCTTTCCCCAGAACATTAAAAGGGAGGTGGATCAGAAGCAGCTGAGACAGAAACCAGAGTCCATATGGGAATCCCGGCATCACAAGTGGTGGATTTACCTGCTATGCTATACCACTGGCCCCAACAATATAGATTTCTATAAAAAGAAAACAAAACAGAGGAATAAAGTTTAAACAGGTAAACGGTTTTGGTTACTAAAATGAGAATAGAAAGATCATTCACATGATATAAATCAAAAGGAAAAGTCATACAAAAATAATAGTACTTCGGGCCAGCACTGTGGTGTGGCTGGTAAAACTGCCGCCTGCAGTGCCAGCATCCCATATGGGCGCTGGTTAGAGTTCCAGCTGCTCCACTTTTGATCCAGCTCTCTGCTATGGCCTGGGAAAACGTAGAAGATGGCCCAAGCACTTGGGCCCCTGTACCCATGTGGGAGATCTGGAAGAAGCTCCTGGCTCCTGGCTCCTGGCTCCTGGCTTCAGATCAGTGCAGTTCCAGCCATTGCAGCAATTTGGGGAGTGAACCAGCAGATGGAAGACTTTTCTTTCTGTCTCTCCTTCTCTCTCTGTGTAACTCTGTCTTTTAAATAAATAAATCTTAAAAAAAGAATAGTACCAGGAAAAAATATAAAATTATAGAATTTAAATCAAAATAAAAAGGTGCTTTTCCTGAATAGATGATATATTTAAGCTGGAATGGAAGATAATGGTAAGGATAGAGGAGAAAAGAAAAAGAAAAGACAGACAGGTGACATAAATGAGGAACTTGAGTTCATAACATATCCTGGGGTAACTTTCCTGTTAACTCTTCTTGGGGAGATAACCAAGATGGTGAACTCTAATATTTCGTCCTAAAACTTAGGCCTTTTACTTCAAAATTGCAGGCAAGAACCTTCAGGCACTCTCTTGTGTCTGTACTTAGGATCCCAGGGGTAGTGGCTTTTTAAAACTAATTCTAAATCTTTGGTAATTGAGCGCAGGGTTTCAGGCTGGTCCCTGGAGCTATTAACATCACCTCTAGATACTTTTCTTTTTAATTTTTTATTTTTGACAGGCAGAGTGGACAGTGTGAGAGAGAGAGACAGAGAAAAAGGTCTTCCTTTGCCGTTGGTTCATCCTCCAATGGCCGCCGCGGCCGGTGCGCTGCAGCTGGTGCACGGCGCTGATCCAATGGCAAGAGATAGGTACTTATCCTGGTCTCCCATAGGGTGCAGGGCCCAAGTACTTGGGCCATCCTCCACTGCACTCCCTGGCCACAGCAGAGAGCTGTCCTGGAAGAGGGGCAACCGGGACAGAATCCGGCACCCCGACCGGGACTAGAATCTGGTGTGCCGGTGCTGCAAGGTGGAGGATTAGCCTAGTGAGCCGCGGCGCCAGCTACCTCTAGATACTTTGCATGTGATGCGAGTTTCATAAGTTGGAGAAAATCATGAGAACCTATAGAACTTAGAAGTCACTCAAGAATCCAAGGCCAAGTGTGTCCCTTCACCATTGAGAGTAACTGTTAGCCTTTCAGCTGGAGTTGTTCCTAGAGAATGGGGCTTTGATTTCTCACTTAAAAGTGGTTCAACAACGGCAAAAGGAAGACCTTTCTCTCTGTCTCTCTCACTGTCCACTCTCCCTGTCAAAAAAAAAAAAAAAAGTGGTTCGAATAATGTTTTCATACAGATTGAAAAGAATAGGAAAACAAAGCAGATGAAGGGGAGGGAACCATTAAGAAATATCTCTTCAGGGCCGTGTTATGATCAGTGTGCATCTCTGTGGACAGTAAATGCCATTTTTCCCAATATTGATTGATGTATGTGGAGAGCATATCTTTGAAGGGATAATCACAATCAGTGTGTGTGAATGAAAAATTCAGTAAACTCAAGCCGTTGCTATACTTGCTGCCTTGAATCTCTGCCTCCATTCTGTTAAGAACTGCACAGGGGCTGGCGCCGTGGCGCACTAGGCTAATCCTCTGCCTGTGGCGCCGGCATCTCATATGGGCACCAGTTTTAGTTCCAGTTGCTCCTCTTCCAGTCCAGCTCTCTGTGGTGGCCCGGGAGGGCAGTGGAGGATGGCCCAAGTGCTTGGGCGCCGGCACCTGCATGGGAGACCAGGAGGAAGCACCTGGCTCCTGGCTCCAGATCGGAGCAGCTCCGTCCATTGCGGCCATCTGGGGAGTGAACCAACGGAAGGAAGACCTTTCTCTCTCTCTCTCAATGTCTGTAATTCTACCTGTCAAATAAAAAAAAAATAACTGCACAAAAATCCATGTGAATGAAAACAACACAAAACCCACTCAGTCTAGACTGAACACCATAAAGCTCTACACAGATAAACTGTTTTAGTGACAGTTATCATAAGCTGAGTACACAAAATGAAATTACAGCTCCAACACAAAGTGATACTTGACCTCCCATGTGATGTGTATGGCTCCCACCTGGATATGCTTATATTTTTATGGTGTTTTGAACTTTTGGCAAAAACTGTTACTACGTCTACTTTCCCATAGCTTTCCCCTTCTGTTAATGGAGTGGGAAACAAAATATGCTGTTTTAACTTCCCTTGGGCTTTAAATAAAGTTAAACTATGACTAGGCAAACACTAACGGGAAACAATGAGAAACAAATGGCAAAGTCTCGCACATCAAGTCCTTTTTTAAGGTCAGCAACAGCAGAGTAGATAATAATAAAAAAGGAAATAAACAAAGGCTTGCAATTCTGTTTCTGCTTACTCTTTCCTCTGCCTTCTATACCCCAAGTTCCATATTCCTGGGAGTTTGGTGGCTGTCCATGTTATTATTCAGTGGATGGAAACTTGTAAATTAGCATAAAGTGATTAACTATGAGTTTCTTGGAGACAGTGATTATATCCTATGGGTACACTGACTCTCCAGACATAGAGCGATGCCAAAATTATGTTAGCTGTCCAAGAATATAATGCCAGCTGCATATATTTGCAGCAAACATACAAATGGTTCTGCCAATGCCAATCGCAGAGAAGATAAATAATGTGTTATGGGTCCAGAACTTTGATCCCTCCAGAGAGCATACTGGTTTGTCAGGATTATCTCATCTGCAGTTGTTCCAGGCTGATGTTTTGAGGGGAAGGTGGACATTGAAACATTTTTATTTTATTTTAAAAATAAAAAGGAAGCAGATGGATTTATATGAGAAACAATCAGTAATGTAAGGCTATAAAATCTCCCATCAGATCATTTATTTTTATTACTTCATCTTTATTAATATTTACTTGGGAATTAATGAATGAATCAATATTTCAATAGAATTAATGATCCGTGGGAAACAACATAGTTTCAAAAAATTTGGAAGCACATATTTAGAGTCTATTAGTATTTATTGGATTCTCTATCACACATATGCCAGCCTTATGTTAAGATTTGGCAATGCCAAAGTGAAAAAGAAAATGATAATCCCTTTTCTCATCGAGTTAACATTTTATAGGATATAGATAAAAAGTCAACCAACTAAACAACCAACTAAACAAATACTTAGGTACTTCAGAGGGAGCAATTGAGGTGCTGAGGCCAGGCAGGGCAGTGGAGGAGGGGGTGCAGAGGAACTGGCCATGATGAGAGTACCCCTAGGAAACAATGGTTGGGATCTGAAGTGGATTCTAGATTCTGGACAGGAGTTCATCCAGAATTAACCACAGAAGAAAAGCTTTGAAGGGGGAAAGTGTGCATGTGGGGTGTAGGTTTAAATATAAACATGGTCATTGATGAGCATAAGCTATGGGAAAGCAAATGTAAGATCACTTGTTGCCAAAAGTACAAAAAGTACAAAGGACCATGAAACCTGACCATACCCATGTGGAACCACCACACACACGTATGATCATACCACAGGTAGAGCATGGTTTTGCATTGGAGATGTCCACAAGTTAATAGCTTAATTTGCATTTATGGGCAAGTTGTTTTACCTAGGGCTCTTAGTTACACATCCTTAAAATCAAAATAAGAAAGCATGTGTTGAAAATTGCTACAAAAATTCAAGCTCTTGGTGGCAAAGTGCCCAAGATATTGTAAACCTTCAGAAAATGTTGTTTCCTTTTTCTGCCAACATTTTATAGCTTTAGATGAATTCCTTACAAAAGTCATGGTAATAACACAAACAAAATGTTAACACTTCCCAAGGAAAAGTGCCATTTTGTTCCAAGTAGCACTCACTGTACAAAGGAAAAACAAAACTCTTTTGAAAGTTTTAAACAGGATTCAGCTGTATACTAACAACTGTGAAGGTCACAGATTACTATACCTATTTTTCAATCCAAGTATATTTCAGTAACTGCAAAAAATATCAAGATTGAAATGTAACAGATTGAATCCCTTACTTGGTGAGTATTCAGCAACAGATTAATATGTATTTAATCGACTTTACAGCCTGAGTTAATTTAATCTCTCTTACATTAGACAGACTCTTATACTAGACTTCACAATGTTGCTGTATCACCACCAGGATTATTTTACTATCTATAGACATTTTGCATTTTAAAAAGCCCTACAAAAACATCAGCTTGTTTATATGACCTTTCATAGCTAATTCCAGTTGGGTTTTGTCAACCAATTGTAATGCTTGTTTTCTTAATAAGCAAGTAACCTTCCCTTCTTGGAGCAACAACACTTGATGTATTAAATGATTAGAGCAATTTGAATTTTGAGCAAACTCAGTTCACCAAAACATGTTCTTTGGAGTCCAAACCAAAGCCATGAAATGGCCCCTAATAAAGTAATCCCTGGGATTAGTGTCTGTAAAGCCTCTGTGATCTGCTAAAAACTAAGGTACATAAGCATTTTTCAGAAATACATTCTCTCTCTCTCTCTCTCTCTCTCTCTCTCTCTCTCTTTCTCTCCACAGTTGGCATAAAATAGAACCCATATGGTGGCTATCATGTTTGCATGACGGCTTGCGTATGGAAGCCAGGTCTGAATCCACAGTGGCCCTCAGACTGGTGCTCTGCTTATACAAGATTTCTGAGATGTAGAAAAAGACATGCTTGTTCATAGGCATTATTCATCTTGTTTTTTATCTTAACAGCAGACTATTGCTTTGTCCTGCTGCTGCCACCAAGAATTGTGGTTAGCAAGGCTGAAGTTGCTGGGAAGAGCTAAATGGGAGATGCTTCTCCTCCACGTGGGCTTACAGAGAACTGAAAAGAGAACTGTTTAGAGCTGGTGGTTCTTATGAACAGAGAAGAGAAAAACAAGAAGTTTAACTGCTGAGAGAAGATAGGAGAAACCCAAATTGTGTCCCAGGTGCAGGGAAGCAAAGTGAAATGACTTACCTAGGCAAAGTCAGGGGGAGTCATTTGGGTTAAAAGAATCCTAAGAGAATGGAAAACAAACATTTTTGCCCTGATTTATTTCCAGGAATGTAGATATCCTTTCTGAAAATATGATAAAATTAACGGAGTTATTTGTGGATTGAGTTAGATGTTTTCTTTTACTGAATATCTGTGAAGAACCATTGTGACCAATTGAAATTAGTATTACTTTTGCCTTGTGCCTTGCATCAGACAAATTTATGTGCCCACTTTCTCTTTATTAAGACATTTTCTTCCTGACATTGTTTTTATATTTTTACTTCTTAAACATTTATTTATTATTTGAAAGGCAGAATGACAGAGTGGTAAGAGGTGGGGGATTCTTCCACATTCTGGTTCACTTGCCAAATGCCCACAACAATCGTGTTGAGCCAGGCAAAACTCAGGAGGCAAGAACTCCTTACAGGTCTCCCACATAGTTGGCAGGGGCCCAAGTACTTAAACCATCACTCGCTGCCTCCCAGGTGCATCAGCAGGAAGCTGGATCAGAAGCAGAGTATCTAGGACTTGAACTGGCTCTCTGATATGGAATACGGGTGTCTTTAAGCAGCAGCTTAACCCAGTTACCACAATCCCACTTCCTTCTTGAAATTCTTTTTTTTAAAGATTTATTTATTTATTTGAAAGGTGGAATTACAGAGGCAGAGAGAGAAAGAGAGAGAGAGAGGACTTCCATCTGCCGGTTCACTCCCCAGATGGCCACAACTGCTGCAGCTGAGCTGATTTGAAGCCAGGAGCCAGGAGCTACTTCTGGGTATCCCATGTGGGTACAGAGGCCATCGTCTATTGCTTTCCCAGGCCAAAACACAGAGTTGGATTGGAAGTGGAACAGCTGGGACTTGAACCAGAACCCATATCGGATGCTGGCACTGCAGGCAGCAGCTTCACCTGGACACAGCACCAGCCCAACTTCTTAAATTTTTACCCAGAACTTTTCCATCTCTTCATTTATTTGAACTTCATACATTGCTGTTAGAATCTTACCTCTTCTGTTGAGTTTCTTTCACTGACCTTTTTCTCAGTAGCCTTGTCTTTTTCTGGTTTTCTTTAGCTACTCTTTTATTATCCAGCCAGAAATCCTAGCCAAACCCAGAGAGGAAAACAGTTAACCACTGGTGGAATTGGTAGAAGGATGGATCATTTAAAGATTGTTGTGCACGGGCTTTTAAGCTTTTGCTTTGGGAAGAGAAGGAGGGAGTTTTCTAGAAGTTTGTTGGGAAAGACTTGAAGCCAGTATAGGGGATGGGATTGACTTCTTTCTCTTCTAGCACTTAGGGTAGATTTTGAGCCTCCTGGAGAGAAATGAGGGCTGGAAGCTGGAAGAACTGCGATTGTGAAAGACATGACGAGGTGCTGGATATGAGCTGTATTGTTTTGGGGCCCATCAGACTACCCATAGCATAGCTTTTGTGAGAAAACCATCCCCAATTCTATCTCTACCTCATTTACCAGCCTTAGAGCACACTAGTACATTCTCATCTTAGAACTCAAGCAGCTACTGATGTGGGTATATTGAACTTGCCAGATCATGCTTCCACAGATGACAGCAATGACAGAAGCAATGGACTAGTAGGTAAGCGAGGAAGCCAGAGCACTGGCATACAAATACACTGGTCACAAGACCCCAGACAAGACTTCCAGAAATGGACAGGGGAGCTTCTGAAGTGGAGGAGAAGGAAAGGGAGAGGAACATAATTTCTGCATAAGAAAATGTAGACTATGAGCCCTAACATTTTGTCAAAAAGTCAGTATGATTTTATTTCTGCTCAGTACCTGGCACAGTCCCTTCTAGCTATTTCATTTACAGCTTTCCTAGGTTATGTATATATATTAAATATATGATTATAATTAAGAGTAGCTAAATATACATTTCTTTAAAAACACTGCAATTATATCCAGGTCTTCACCAGAGATTTATCCAAAGTTGTGATTGTTTTCAGTCTGCTAAGGTGCCATTAGTACAACAATCTGGGTGGCTTAAGCAATGTAAACTCAGTTATGGAGGTTGGAAGCTCAGGAGTGAAGTTTGTTTATTTGAGAGGTAGAGTTACAGACAGTGAGAGGGAGAGACAGAGAGAGAGGTCTTCCATTTGCTGGTTCACTCTCCAAACAGTGGTGATGGCTGGAGCTGGGCTGGTCCGAAGTCAGGAGCCAGGGGCTTCCTCTGGGTCTGCCACGTGGGTGCAGGGTCCCAAGGACTTAGGCCATCTTCCTCTGCTTTCCTAGGCCATCAGCAGAGAGCTGGATCAGAAGAGGAGCAGCTGGGACTAGAACCAGCACCCATATGGAGTGAAATTTTAACAGAGTTTGATCCTTCTGAGTTCTGTAAGGGAGAGCCTATTACCTGACTTGCTCTCTAGCCCTGGTGGTTTGCTGGCATCATTGGGGTTCTGTGGTTTGTAAATCTCTATCTTTACATGGTAGTCTCCTTTTGTGCATGTCTGTGTCTAAATTTCTCCCTTTTATAAGGGCACCAGTCAGTATGGATTAGGGACACATCAAACTCCAGTATGACCTTTCTTAACTAACTATTAGGAAATGTTTAATTATTTGAAAGGCAGAGCATCAGAGAGAGGGAGGGAGGAACAGAAGGGAAGAGAAGTAGAAACAGAGAAAATATCTTTTATCCATTGGTTCACTCCCTAAATAGCTGCAACAGCCAAGTCTGGACCAGGCCAAAGCCAGGAGCCAGGAGCTCCATCCTGGTCTTCCTCCATATGTGTGGCAAGATCCCAAGCACTTAGGTCAGAATCTGCTTGACTGGAATTCCTGACTGGTCAGGAAGCTTGACTGGAAGAAGAAGAGTTAAGACTTGAACTGGCAATCTGATATGGGATTCCAGCCTCTCAAGTGGAGGCTTAACCTCCTGGGCCACATTGCCAGCCCCTTAATGAATTACTTTTGAAACAACTCCTATAGCCTAATCAGATCACATATGAGGGACTGAGACTGAGAATGTCAACTTAATTTTGGGTGTACACAATTCATTTCATGATGGTTGGAGATGTTTAAAATCTATAGGTGAATCAGAATTTCGTGGTGATAATCTAAGGCTCATGGTTAGCGTGACAGAATGCTGCCCTTCAGGATAAAATGCTCTACAGATTGTTAAGTTACTAGACATTCCTCTACTCCAGGTACTTTCCCCTTGTTCCGATAGAACAAATAGACAGTAAAGTAGATGCGTCCTGATTATATCCATGATGTTTTGAAATCCAAATTAGAACATATGGTATAATGGTCAGGATGATAACTGACTGATTGTACAAGATTAGGGCTAGACAATCTGGGGCATATGATTATCAAACTTGTGGCCTGCTATTCATGGGTAGGGTTTAATTGTAGTCCATGCAATCCCAGGTATGGTTAAGTGAATGGCTCTCCAAAATGACCACACACTAAGCCCTGGAATTTATAAATATGATGCTACATAGTAAAATGGGCTTTTCTGATGCAATTAAGATTAGGTATCTTAAAATAGACTATCCTGATTACCCAGATGGGCCCAAAATAATTACATAAGCTTTCAAAAGTAGACAATTTTCTCTGTCTAAAGGTAACAGAGACGAGGCAGAGATTACAGAAATCTGAAGCATGAAAGAACAACCTACAATTGTTAACTTTGAAGATTAAGGGATCCACGGAACCTGAGTGCTCTGCAGACACTGAGAATGGCCTCCAGCTGACACGTGGTAAGGAATGGTCCCTTAATCCTACAAACACAAAAAAGTAGGTTCTGTAGTAAACCTGCCTAAGTTGCAAATGATTTTTTTTTGTAGTGCTTTCTTATAAGATCCCAGTTAATTTACACCTTGATTTTGATCTTGGAAACCAAAGGAGAAATCAGCAAAACCAACTCAGGCTTATGACCTGGAACACTGTAAAATGACATATCTGTGTTGTTTTTAGATCCTAAATTAATGGGAATTTATTACAGCAGCAATGGAAAATGAATACAGAGAGTATACAATATGTGCCTGTTTGTGTTTCTCTGCCTTAAATATCTACAGATAAGTTTGGCTTCAGTGTACTTCCCAGTGTCCTCACCTAGATTTTGCAAGGCTTCAGGTCATTTAGGATAATGTATAACTCATGGTCTCCTGTGGATTTGAGTTCTTGTTTCTACTCCACAGTTGTGTAGAGTGTTTGTGCTATTGAGTTTGCTTGCATTTACCTTCTGCAACTGCAAAGAAAGGACCATGCTAGGCTGGCCTACTGGAAAATGACTGATATGTAATACAATCTTCATTACCCCAGCCGAGCCAGCCAAGGTCTTTCTAGATCAACTGACAGCCATCTCACTCCCAGAAATCTTGGGACAAATATAGCCAAGCTCAGAAGTTCTGTCTGGTGGTCCCAGATGTCCAAGCAGTAAATACTCATTGTACGTCATGAGGGTTTTGAATATTTGTAACACAATTATGGTAGAAATAGATAATCACACTGATTTGAAGGAAACTTTTGGTCCCTTGATGGTGTCATCATTTTTATTCTGTCTGCTTTCTCTCCTGACTTAACCACACTGTTTTTAGCCTCATTTTATAATGTTTCTCTCTTTGTTTTTCCCTTTTCTGATTATTTCTATTAACAGTAATTTCTTAATGTTAAATAATGATTTCTCTCAAAAGTCTTTTTTTTTTTAATCAGAGACAAGCTTTTTGTGTGGTGGTCATCTAGGGAATTAGATGAGAAGACTCCTCCCTTATGTCTGAGTCATAGCAGGAGGTTAATTGTGAGGATGTCCGGAGTAATGTCCCTGGGGGTTTGAGTGATTAGACAATGGTCAGGGTGCCAGAATGGATGCCGGAATGGTCTCCTAAAGGGGAAAAAAAGCATCTCTTGTCATTATTTCTCAGAGTAGAGAACACCATTCAAGTTCAAGGGTCATTCAAGGTTCTTCTGATATCCAGTCCTAAATTACATTGTATTGCTATTTTAAATATATGATTTCATATATTCTCAATGAGATTGTAAAACCCTTCATGCAGACTTTGTTTTCCACATCTTTTTGCAATCAGGGTATGGTTTCTCAGTGGGCCCTGTGTACAGAAGCCTCTAAATCAGTGTGAAATATGAATGATGATGAAGAAAAATAAGAGACAGAAAAGAGATTAAGTGAATTAGAAATCTCCTTTTAGTTTTCAGGCTCTCAAATTTTTACCTTAACCTAGGAAAATATATTTTAGATTTAAAAAGAATAAACTCAAGGAAAATTTCTTGAACAATCATTCCTAGAAAAGAAAAATAAGTATGAAATGTACAAATCAAATGATAAATTTACAATAAATTGCAAACTAAAAGTCAAAAAGCACAAATCAAATCAAGCTAACCAGTGGCAACTAACAACGAATATTATAATTCATTGAAATAAGCTGTAGTTCTTTTTTTAAAATTTATTTATTTATTTGAAAGAGTTACACACAGAGAGAAGGAGAAGCAGAGAGAAGAGAGAGAGAGAGAGGCCTTCCATCTGCTGGTTCACTCCCCAGTTTGTTGCAAAGGCCGGATCTGTGCCAATTGGAGGCCAGAAGCCAGGAGCTTCTCCGGATCTCCCACATGGGTGCAGGGGTCCAAGGACTTGGGCCTTCTTCTACTGCTTTCCCAAGCCACAGCAGAGAGCTGGATAGGAAGTAGAGAAGCTGGGACTTGAACTGGTGCCTATATGTGATGCCGGCACTGGCACTGCAGGTGGTGGCTTTTACCCACTATGCCATAGTGCCGGCCCCGCTGTAGTTCTATATGCCTGAGATAGAAAGCTTCCTGAAAGGCAGCTGTTGATATAAAAATCATTGCTTAATGTTAAATTTGCTTTTAATAACTCATTGGCAGAACCCTACTAGCAATTATAACACCAAGCAAAGTATGTTGCAACAGCATGTACTAAACTGTAAAGTCTGAAATTTGTTTTATTTAGGACACTCATTCTTTGACTTATACTTAGAATTTCCACTAATTTCTGTATTCACTAGTAATTTATACCATATATTAAGTTTAGCTATAGGTTCAAAGAATCTTACTTGAAGACTTTTGTATTTTACTCAATATAAAAGTAACATATATTGATAGTGGTCTACATGACTTATTTAAAAAAACTATTTTTAAAAATTCTATTTATCTGAGAGGCAGAGAAATATACACAGAAAGATGGACACATGGAGAGAGAAATTTCTTGCCTACTGCTTCACTCCCACAAAGATCTTCAATGGGTAGAGCTGAGCGAGGACAAACCTGGGAGTAGGGAGCTCAATCCAGTTCTTCCACATGGGTGGCAGGGACCCAATCTCTTGAGCCATCAACTGCTTATGCATTAACAGGAAACTAGAGCACAAGACCTATTTTAAATTCCTAACACCTATACACAGAAGTTTGTTGTTTTCCATTTGAAATGATTAGCATAACACATGACCTTAATATAATAACCTTTAAAATAGTGAAGAATGTCATTTTTGCACAAGTCCAAACAGCTATTGGAGAGTATACCACAAAGTAAAGATATGAAAGAGGAGTGCATTGTTGTCTTTACACTCTTAATTTTATAATGTTAATTCTTTTCTCTAATGCATGATTCTTGCAAGACCAAGGATACTAGATTAAACATGACTGCAAATGGGTTAGTACTCTTCCTAGTGAGAGGTGGAATCCAATTCCTTTTTCCTGTAGCCTAGGATGGTTTTAATGATAACAGAGAATGGTGGGATAGTCTTTCTGAGGATAATATTCTAGGTTCTAAGAAGCTTCACAACTTTTATCTGGGGCTATCAGAATTCTTTCTGGAATCTATGAGTTGCCCCACAAAAATTCTGGCTAACCTGAGCCTGCCAGGTTGGAAAGTACTCCAGTTAACAGTCCCAATTGAGCCTCATCATCAAGCCATAACTTCCTGGAGACTGGACATGTTAATGCAGTAGTTGTTTGTCAGTTAACTACCATTGAGTAGCCTTAGCTGTTGCTGTGAGGAACAGAATCATCCACCTGAGGTCTGCCTGAATTCCTGGTCCACAAAACTGACAGTTATATTAAAATGATTGTTTATTAAATGATGAAGTCACAAATGTTGTGGAAGTGCATCAGTTATGTATTCTTAAACAGCAGTCCAATAGTTAGTGACTTAAAATCAGTAACAGATGTCTTTCGGTGTCTGCACAGGTCAGGAAATTGGGTTGGCATAGCAGGGTTGGCTTGTCTTAGCTCTACAATGTCGTGGGCTTGACCTGGGAAAGTTGAAAGCTGGGGGTGACTTGATGGCTTAATCATATGGAGACATCTTCCACTATATATTTGGAAGTTGATGCTGGCTGGTAATTAGAATCTTAGTTGGACTGTTGACTGGAAAACACATGTGTGGTCTTTCCATGTTGTCCATTGCCATTAACTAGTTTGTACTTTCTCAGTTTGTTGCCAGGTTCCAGGAGAGTTAGACCATTACTCAGTTACTTTTTATGACCTAGTGTTATAAGCTGTATACATCATAAGCCTGCCTAGATTAAGGAAAGGTAATATTATCCTCAGATAACCAAACACTAAGGAGTTTTTTACCTGAGAATGATGAGTTTAGGATTTTCATAGATACAACTAGAAAAGTTCTGGAAAAATTAGTTGGTCACCCTACTAAGCCCCATGCTCTGAAGTGCTGAAGTCATACTGTACTAAGAGCATATTAGGTGGGAAACAGTTTTGGGGACCCCTTTGCATTCCACCTCAGGTGTCTTATTTATACCTGGATATACAATGGAAGCACCAAATGATATTGCATGGGAAATAAGCAATTTGTAGGAACATAAATTTCATGAGGACACAGAGTTTTCTTTTTTCTTTTTTCAGAACCTAGACTAGTAGCTGGCACACAGTCAGTGTTAATAAATATTTGTAGAATTACTGCACGGATAAACAGTAAGTCCTATAACATTCCAGTACATAAAATCCAGCCAGCAGCTGACTTTAGCACACTGTTCTTGCTTGCTAGCAACCAGAGAGAAATGGTTTAAAATGCATGTTTAAAATGCAGTGTCAGCCTTCCAGGGCAGTAGAAACTAGAAAACTAATCAAAACCAATAACCTTTTGGAGAATATTCTTGTAGTCTCATGAGACTAGACTCTCAATTCTCTCTTTCAGGTGTACTGCACAGGCAGAGTCTTACACAACTATGCAGAAAGGACAAGAAGAAAAAGGTCGCGGAGCTTCTAATGTTTGCCTGAATCTGAGTTGTTCCACTTGTGGCTTGATTTTTGGTAAATTTCAGACCCTCCTCTCATTTAAGTAAGTGAAGACTAGGAATAATTCTGCTTCTTTCAGACCAGCTGCAAAGAGATGAGATAGTAGGGAACCTGGATCTTTTTTTATAGAATGGAAGTTAGGAAAAGGTGAGAGAAAAGGCTCATGCTTTAAATTTCTTTAAGAAATTAGCAAAACTATTCTAGAAAACAGGGAACAAAGTGGACGCATAATCATACAATCCAGAAATAAACTTTGTCAATATGGCAGAATATACTTATACATATTTTATGTATAAAAGTGGCTTATACAGCTTTCAGTAAATAAAAATTTTATCTTTAAAATATTTTGCCTATTTTTCACTTAATAAGTATCATGAATATATCATATTCTAATTTTAATCTCAACAAACATTCTTCTACAATACAATTAGAATAATAGAAACAACACTAAAAATACTTTTTTCACTTGTCCTGAGATTAATATCTAAGAGTAATATCTAGGGCCTAGATTCTTATTGGTGAGCATTACAAATAAAAGTGCCCTGAAGAACATGTGCCTCCTTTGAGGAATATGGAAGTAGAGCAAAAACATGTCATATGTGAAATATTCTCAGCTGGGACTGAGAAGCACTCACTTCTGAATGGATCATAGGAACACACTTTTTTTTTTTTTTGACAGAGTTAGTGAGAGAGAGAGAGAGAGACAGAGAGAAAGGTCTTCCTTCTGTTGGTTCACCCCCCAAATGGCTGCCATGGCCAGTGCGCTGTGCTGATCTGAAGCCAGGAACCAGGTGCTTTCCCCTGGTCTTCCATGTGAGTGCAGGGCCCAAGCACTTGGGCCATCCTCCACTGCCTTCCCGGGCCACAGCAGAGAGCTGGACTGGAAGAGGAGCAACCGGGACAGAACCGGCACCCCAACCGGGATTAGAACCCAGAATTACCAGTGTCGCAGACGGAGGATTAGCCTAGTGAGCCATGGTGCCAGCCATGGAATACACTTTTAATAAGGTGGTAGGAGAAATTGTCATTTATTGAGCCCCTACTGTATACAAAAGTGTATGTTAGGTGCTTTCTCGGCAACAACTTTGAATTTAGTGTTATTAATCTCCATTTTATATAAAAAAGTGAGAATCAGAAATACAAATGCCATACAAAGGGCATTCCTAAATATTTTTGGACCCTTTTATTTTTTTAAAAAGATTTATGTATTTATTTGAAAGTCAGAGTTACACAGAGAGAGGAGAGGCAGAGAGAGGTCTTCCATCTGATGGTTCACTCCCCAGTTGGCTGCAACGGCCGGAGTTGCACGGATCCGGAGCCAGGAGCCAGGAGCTTCTTCTGGGTCTCCCACACAGGTGCAGGGGCCCAAGGACTTGGGCCATCTTCTAGTGCTTTCTCAAGCCACAGCACAGAGCTGGATCGGAAGCGGAGCAGCCAGATCTCGAACTGGTGCCCATATGGGATGCTGGCTCTTCAGGCCAGGGCATTAACCCACTGTGCCACAGTGCCAGCCCCATTGGCCTCTTTTAAATACGTGTAATCTATCCCTTCTTTTTAAAAAAATAATCTGTGTACTTTGTTTACAATTCTCTATGGTACTTCTTTTATTATCTGATACTATAGCAATGTGAGATTTTAGTTTATCTTTCACAAGATGTTGTAAGCTCTTTAAGGATAGGGACAGAATTTACTGTTTGTGTGTCTGTATAGTAGCTTGCACAGACTAGAAATATTCACATTTTCAGAAGTAAATTTGCTTTCTGAGATCACTGTTTTATCAACATTGTAGCCATTTCCTCAAGAGACATTTTAAAACTCAATAGCTATTCTTAAATTGAGTGATAAACCCTTAGCTACACGGACTTTTACATCCTTTTGATTCTTCTTCAGTGTTTGAAAACAAACTTAAAGATTTGACTTTAACCTTTGAGATTCCAAAGCACATACAGCAGTTTTATCCTGAATTCACAATGACACATTTCTTTTCACATTAATTTCAAGTGTAGAAGTTTTATAACCAAGGACTCAAGATATCAACAGAGTAATTCTTTTTCTTTAATAAAATATTTTAATAATTCAGCAGATAGTATGACACAGCAAATTCATACTTTTAAAAAAATTTTACAGATATATTTCAATTTTCTCATCTACAGGAATTCTAATATTTGCTATTGTTTTTGTCTTCACAGCACAAAACATGACCTACACTCAGACCAAAGGAGTGGACAAATGATCTCAACAATATCAAAATGATTTTCTGCTTTAGCGATCTGAATGTTGAGTGGGTATTTATAGAAGCAAAGAAAGGAGTTACAACAGTAATGTGTGGCATTGTGACTCTCTGATAGAAGGTCCATGAACAATTTATTTTTAAAAAATTGAGAAAAAGAAGAAGAGGAAGAGGAAGAGAAGGAGAAAGAGGAAGAGAAGGCAGAGAGAGAGAGAGAGAGAGAGAGAGAGAGATAACTTCCACTCTCTGCATCACTCCCCCAAATACCCACAATAGCATAACAGCCAGGACAAGGCTGACATCAGGAGCTGGGAATGGAATTCATGTCTCCCAAAAGGGTGGCAGGAACCCAATTACTTGAATCATCACTATTGCCTCCAAGAGTCTGAATTAGCAGGAAACTGGAGTCATGAGCCAGGGCTGGGTATTGAACTCAGATACTCAGATACTCTGATGTGGGATGAAGGTATCTTAACTGATGTTTTGACCTCTGGCCAAAATTCCACCCCCATGGACCCTGTCTTCTAAATCCTTTTATTCATGTGGCTTGATTGTTGAATTCTGTTCTGTCCCTGATGCAGTGAGATATTAACGACCCACTCAATCATCACCTCCTTTTTTGTAAAGCATAAGTTAATTAGAAATCATTTCTCTTGCTTTGATCTAAAACAAATACAGAAACTCCTTTTGGAATTGATTTAAATGTTAGCTCTTTATACACATGGACATATACTCGGAATTTTTCTTGGTTCTGCTACTTGAAGAAAAATCCTGTTTTTTTTTTTTCCCCCTGTCCCAGCATGATCTTCTGCTCATGAACTTAAGACAATTTCCAAGAAAAGGCGTTTACCATCACTGGTTTTTTGTTTGTTTTGTTTTGTTTTGTTTTGTTTTTGACAGGCAGAGTGGACAGTGAAAGAGAGAGACAAAGAGAAAGGTTTTCCTTTTGCCGTTGGTTCACCCTCCAGTGGCAGCTGCGCCTGGCACACCGTGCTGATCCGATGGCAGGAGCTAGGTGCTTCCCCTGGTCTCCCATGCGGGTGCAGGGCTCAAGGACTTGGGCCATCCTCCACTGCACTCCCTGGCCACAGCAGAGAGCTGGCCTGGAAGAGGGGCAACCGGGACAGAATCCGGCGCCCCGACTGGGACTAGAACCCGGTGTGCTGGCGCCGCTAGGTGGAGAATTAGCCTAGTGAGCTGCGGCGCCAGCCACCATCACTGTTTTTAAAGGAGAAATTTTTGAGGAGGTACAGAATCTGGAGACCAGGTGCTGTTGAAAGCGTGGGGGAAAATGTTCAGGAAGCAGATAAGCTGTGTGTTAATGGCCTTTAACATGTGACTAAGCACTGTAACATGGATTTCTGAAAGCTAAATAATTTAAGGAAAACTCTTCTGACTTCTGAAGGAATCTATGAGTGATTTCTTTTGACAAACAGTTGAAGTTTTTAAGCCATGAAGCATCTGCTTTGTCAGGGAAATTGTTCTGATACAGGTATTTTGTTCTGTATTTAGAACATTCATGCATCCAAACATCCTACAAGCAAAGATCTGCCCTCCTGCCACTAACTTCTCCTTCTGTGGTATCCAATCAGTTTGCCTGCAGCTTTAAGGCTGTGGAGTCCCTGGAACTTCTACTTTATAGAGTCCCTCTGTCTTAACTACTGAAAGCTTTTACACCTTCACAAAAGATGTTCAGTTGCTAACGCCTCTCCACACATTAATTTCTAGAAAAGTCATAGGAGCTGAAGAAATGGGTCCTGAGGAAAGCCTTCATTGCAAGACAATGGGTGGGACTCTCACATCCAGGCAGATGTTGATACTGACTTGAGACAGTTCACCAAGGTCTTTTCAGAAAACTTTGGTAGCCTCGAGTATTTGGGAGGTACCATTTAACGCCTGCAACATAACCTCATTAACAGATTAAAACATAGGCAAATCTCAAACTAAATTATTAAACACAGGTGATCAAGTATGAACAAAAGTGTATATATAACCAACCTCTTCTGCAAGTCTGACAATATTCCAGCTGTAGCCCTTTTGAAGTGCCCTGGAGGCCTTCTTCCATAAAAGGTTCTCTTGAAATAATTATAGCAATATTCTGGAAGCAGAATTTGGCTAATGTTCTATTAGGCTTCAGGAAAACAGAGTTCTCCACTCAGGTGTCCAAGCCTCAAACTTTGGGCCAGAGATGCAGGTTGTAATACCTTTGATGAAAAGGGTAGGAGTGTCTCCAAATATTCAGGCAAACTACATGTCTTGGATACCACTAATGTTACCAGTGAGAGCCCATTTTTATAATCCATCAGGCTCAGGAACAAGTATTAGCTTTACCAATGAATTCTCCTTTCTCATTTTTTTTTAAAGACTTTATTTAGGAGCTGGCGCTGTGGCTCACTTGATTAATCCTCTGTCTGCGGTGCCGGCATCCCATATGGGCACCGGGTTCTAGTCGTGGTTGCTCCTCTTCCAGTCCAGCTCTCTGCTGTGACCCGTGAGGGCAGTGAAGGATGGCCCAAGTGCTTGGGCCCCTGAATCCGCATGGGAGACCAAGAAGAAGCACCTGGTTCCTGGCTTCGGATAGGTGCAGCGCCGGCCATGGCGGCCATTTAGGGGGTGAACCAACGGAAGGAAGACCTTTCTCTCTTTCTCTCTCACTGTCTATAACTCTACCTGTCAAATAAAAAAGACTTTATTTATTTATTTGAGAAGTAGTATAGACAGTGAGAAGGAGAGACAGAGAGAAAGGTCTTTCATCCACTGTTTCACTCTCCAAATGGTGGCAAAGATTGGAGCTGGGCCAATCTGAAGCCAGGAGCCAGGAGCTTCTTCTGAGTCTCCCACATGGGTGCAGGGGTGCAAGTGCTTGGGCCATCTTCTACTGCTTTCAAAGGCTATAGTAGAGAGCTGGATCAGAAGAGGAGAGCATATGGGACTAGAACTGGAACACATGTGGGATGCCAGTGCAGCAGGTGGAGGATTAACCCAGTGTGCCACAGCACTGGCACCGACATTCTTCTATTCATTGCTTTCATTAGCAAAAATCTAGCTTTCTTATAGGTAAGGTAGCTGAAGGTTAACCCTTCAGTTATAATTCTAGGTGACCATGCTTGTAATGTGACTTATCAACTAAGATCATTGATTGAGTCTAGGGTATGACCTAAGATAAAGAACACATACATAATTCCACACTATCTATGCTGAGATATTTTTAAATAAATTTAAAATGTGCATTTATTAAACTGAATTTTTAATGAGAAAGCAAAAGCAGCTATGGAGTGGTAGCTGCAGAACTTCTTTTTTTAATTTCTTTTTTATTTATTTATTTATTTATTTATTTATTTGAAAGGCAGAGTTAGACAGTGAGAGAGAAACACCAGAAATCAATCCAAACATCTACAGCCAACTTATATTTGATCAAGGATCCAAAACCAATCCCTGGAGTAAGGACAGTCTATTCAATAAATGGTGCTGGGAAAATTGGATTTCCACATGCAGAATCATGAAGCAAGACCCCTACCTTTCACCTTACACAAAAATACACTCAACATGGATTAAAGACTTAAATCTATGACCTGACACCATCAAATTATTGGAGAGCATTGGAGAAACTCTGCAAGATATAGGTACTGGCAAAGACTTCTTGGAAAAGACCCCAGAAGCACAGGCAGTCAAAGCCAAAATTAACATTTGGGATTGCATCAAATTGAGAAGTTTCTGTACTGCAAAAGAAACAGTCAGGAAAGGGAAGAGGCAACCAACAGAATGGGAAAAATATTTGCAAACTATGCAACAGATAAAGGGTTGATAACCAGAATCTACAAAGAAATCAAGAAACTCCACAACATCAAAACAAACAACCCACTTAAGAGATGGGCCAAGGACCTCAATAGACATTTTTCAAAAGAGGAAATCCAAATGGCCAACAGGCACATGAAAAAATGTTCAAGATCACTAACAAGCAGGGAAATGCAAATCAAAACCACAATGAGGTTTCACCTCACCCCGGTGAGAATGGCTCACATCCAGAAATCTACCAACAATAGATGCTGGAGAGGATATGTGGAAAAAGGGACACTAACCCACTGTTGGTGGGAATGCAAATTGGTTTAGCCACTGTGGAAGTCAGTCTGGAGATTCCTCAGAAACCTGAATATAACCCTACCATTCAACCCAGCCATCCCACTCCTTGGAATTTACCCAAAGGAAATGAAATTGGCAAACAAACAAGCTGTCTGCACATTAATGTTTATTGCAGCTCAATTCCCAATAGCTAAGACCTGGAACCAACCCAAATGCCCATCAACAGTAGACTGGATAAAGAAATTATGGGACATGTACTCTATAGAATACTGTACAGCAGTCAAAAACAACGAAATCCGGTCATTTCTAAGAAGATGGAGGAATTTGGAAAACATCATGCTGAGTGAACTAAGCCAGTCCCAAAGGGACGAATATCATATGTTCTCCCTGATCAGCAACAACTAACTGAGCACCAAAGGGGAAACCTGTTGAAGTGAAATGGACACTATGAGAAACAGTGACTTGATCAGCTCTTGTCCTGAATGTTGATGTACAATGTAATACTTTATCCATTTTAGTATTTTTTTTGTTCTAGTACTATTGGTTGAACTCTGTGATTAACACACAATTATTCTTAGGTGTTTAAATTTTAACTGAAAAGTGATCCCTGTTAAATATAAGAGTGGGTTAAGAGAGGGAGGAGATGTACAATTTGGGACATGCTCAATCGGACTTGCCCCAAATGGTGGAGTTAGAATCATGCCAGGGGATCCCAATACAATCCCATCAAGGTGGCATGTACCAATGCCATCTCACTAGTCCAAGTGATCAATTTCAGTTCACAATTGATCACACTGATAGGTCTAAGAGTCAAAGGGATCACACAAACAAGACTAGTGTCTGCGAATACTAACTGATAGAATCAAAAAGGGAGAAAATGATCCATTTTGGGAAGCGGAATACACAGTAGACTCATAGAATGGCAGATGTGCTAAATAGCACTCTGGCCTCAGAATTAGCCCTTAAGGCATTCAGATCTGGCTGAAGAGCCCATGAGAGTATTTTAGGCATGGAAAGCCAAGACACCCTGGAAAAAAAAAGAAAGAAAAAAAGAAGACCCAAATGGAAGATCTCTGTGAATGAGATCCCAGTGGGAAGAACGGGCCCGTTAAAGAATGAGGTACCTTTCTCTGAAGGGAGGGGAGAACTTCCACTTTGACTATGACCCTGTCGAAATAAGATCAAATTTGGCGAACTCAAAAGGCTTCCATAGCCTTGGCAACTCATGACTAGAGCCTAGGGAGATTACTGACGCCATAAACAATAGTGTCAAATTGTTAAGTCAACAACAGGAGTCATTGTGTACTTACTTCTCATGTGGGATCTTCCTTAATATGTTGTCCAATGTGAAGTAATGCTATAATTAGTACTGAAACAGTATTTTACACTTTGTGTTTCTGTGTGGGTGCAAACTGATGAACTCTTTACTTAATATATACTAAATCGATCTTCTGTATATAAAGATAATTGAAAATGAATCGATGTGAATGGAATGGGAGAGGGAGCAGGAGATGGGAGGGATTTGAGTGGGCGGGAAATTATGGGAGGTGGGAAGCCATTGTAATCCATTAACTGTACTTTGAAAATTTATATTCACTAAATAATAAAAAAAGAAAAAAGAACTTTTTAAATTAATTAATTAATTAATTAAGTTATTTGACAGGCAGAGTTAGACAGTGAGAGAGAGTGACAGAGAGAAAGGTCTTCCTTCTGTTGGTTCACCCTCCAAATGGCCGCCACGGCCGGTGTGCTGCGTTGATCTGAAGCCAGGAACCAGGTGCTTCCTCCTGGTCTCCCATGCGGGTGCAGGGCCCAAGGACTTGGGCCATCCTCCACTGTCTTCCTGGGCCACAGTAGAGACCTGGACTGGAAGAGGAGCAACCGGGACAGAATCTGGCACCCTGGTCTAGAACCCGGGGTGCCTGGGGTGCCAGTGCTGCAGGCAGAGGATTAGCCTAGTGAGCCACGGCGCCAGCTGCTACAGAACTTCTGATTGGAAGGAGGATAGGAAAATTGTACTGAAGCTCTGTTTGTGTAGCAAGTCAAAATTTTCACGTGAATATTTTGCTTGCTTGGATTACTTTGCATGTGAAATTATGGGGGATACCTTGTCTTGGTATTTTCATTGAGCAAACTTCTAAAACATAACCTCTTAAAAAGTAGGGGTGCACATATGTTTTGTTTTTAATTATTCATTTGTAATATATATTTAAGGAATCTGTGCCAAATTTTAAAAAATATTGAATGTTTGGTAATTTTCATCTTTAAGAGAAACAGAATTATTTGCTAAGTGGAAAGATTTACTCTGAGTTAAGCTCCACCAAATGGCAGTAAGACTGAAAGTTTCTTTTCCATCCCATTAAGCATTAGTGTATATTTCCAGAGTCTAAACACAATGCCATATTTAATAATAAATAAATATTATCTAGTAAAATATGGTTTTATATTCACAATATTTGTTTTTCATACTAAATCATAAACTGGGGTCTAACACAGTCATCAGAGTATTGCATATATAGTTTCATGGCCGACTTATAACTGGAAAACATGACATCTTGAAAGCTATTTGCAAGGCTTTCTTAACTATTATGTCTTCAAAATTTTCATCTATAAAACTATGGTTCTTTCCTTGAAAGAAAATTATATTTGTAAATCCTCTGATGATGAAAGAATTTGTGTAAGATTTGAAGCTCTTCCTTAGGCTACAAATTACAGTGAAGTTTTTAAACATATGGTTGCCAATTAGAAGGCTTTTTCTTTTTAAATAAACACTCTTGTCCTACTAAAGTTTTAATCTTTTCTGTTCTTTAGAAACTGAAGTCATTTGTTCTTTTTTCTTTAAAGTCTGTAATCTAAAAAGCTGCTCTATTTCAAAAAGGCCTACATTTATGATGTGGTCTCTTGAGCTTAGGCAAGAAATAGATCCTGGGATCACTAACATAAGGAAGAGAGTGGATAACATCATCCTGAGAGAGAAGATATAATGAGAAAGAACAGAGCAGAGGAAAGAAAGCCGGTTTACAATAAAAGAGAAGGGAAAATTGAATATTGCGACATCTTGTACACAGTGGAAAGAGTACATAATTGTGTCAAACACCCTTCACACTTCTTGGTAGGTAGATGAAGTTTGAAAAGCCAATTGTTTACATTGTAGCAATGAGAAATCATGATATTCTGCATTTTAAGTCTTCAAAGAGTTGCAGAATCAAATTAAATCTAAAGAAATCAGATTTCAAAAATAGATAAAAATTTCCTAGATTATCATAGGTCACTTACAGCTTGGGGATCATAGACAGATCCTATAGTAAGCTTGCTTGTGGTAAAGGAAAATTTCTAGGACAAACAGAAAACAGCCAACTGGGTTTGACTGGCTTAGTGAATTGGAATCTGAAGGAGCCATGAGTCCTGCCTTCCCACCAATTCTCCCCTAGATGAATTTTACTAAATAATATCAAATTTGCTGTGAGTGTAAAACCACTGTAAAAATAAGCTGTAGCAATGTTAAAAAAAAAAAAAAACTATCAGAGCCAGTACTTGATGCAGTGGATAAGACACTGCTGGGACACTCACATCACATATAAGAGTATTGGTATACAAGTTCTGCTTCTGAATTCACCTTCTTACTAATTCTTGGGAGACAGCCTGTGATCATGGTTCAAGTAGATTGGTCCCTGACATCCTTGTGGGTGATCTGGATTGAGGTCCTAAATTCCTGACTTCTGCTTTTAGCCTGGGCCAATTCCAGCTTTTGCAGGTGTTTGGGGGGAGTAAACCAGTGGATGGAAGTTCTCTCTAGATTTCTGTCACAGGTGACAGTTGAACCCTCTGCACCACAATACTGACCCTGCTAATGTATGTTTTGATGCCTTTGTCAAAGAGTATTTGGTTCTGGGGCCTGCACTGTGGTGTAGTGGGTTAATGCCCTGGC